GTAGCAGCGTCTGCCGCAGCGGCCCAGCGCGGGGCGGAAGGGGGGCGCAGCAGAGTGCGAGGCGTAGGGTAGGGCGGCAGTCAGAAGAGCAGGAGCTGGCGGCTGGCGCTCGGGGCGGCAGGCGGCAGCGAAGGATACAGAGGCCTCCCTCTTGAAAGGCATGCGCGCTCGGCTGTGACATGAACCAGGTAAGGTGCGGGTGGTGCAGCTGCAGGTGTGGCCGCAGCTGGCGGTGGCCCGGCGGGGGTTGCGGCGCGGGCCGGGCCGGGGGTAGGGGGCGGGTCCGTGCGGGGGGTTTAACCTCAATCCCGGACTTGGCACGGGGCTGTCTGGTGTTTAGCCCCGCTGGCAGCTTGTTGTCGCGGCACTCAAGGGCGGTCGTGGACGCGGGGCGCCGACGGCGGCGGCCGCGAAGCACGGCCGAGGGTGTCGAGCAGCCCGTGAGCCCCCCGAGCCGAGGGTCCCTTAACCCTTTCTCCCGCCCCCCGGCCCCCGTGAAGTAGGGCGCTCGGGCCTGACCCCTACAGGGGCGATGAACCTGGCTGCAGGGCTCGCCTGCCGTGCCTCCAGGACCTGTTCCAGGACTCCTGTAAGACCTGGAACGGGTGGATTTGTCAGTCTTGCCCGGTCTAGGGAGATTGTCATGTTCTGAACCACTGCCGCTGGGTAACATCTCTTGAAGAACATATTGCTCTTCTGTTGCAGAATGAAGAGGAAGATGGGTCCCTGAGGATGGATGATTTTGTGGATAAATTGCTACAAGATGACAATCAACTTGCATCTAACAGGTATCTGCCAGGGTTGACTCTCCTTGTGTCCTAGCAAATTTACAGAGAGAAATTGCATAATTGTATTTTGAACTGTTTACCCACAGATATTATAATAGATCTGAATCCAGAAGTAAAGGATGGTGGACAGATTTGAAGCCTGAGCAAGTATTGAGTCAATCTTATGTAAGTATTTGCACATCAATCACATTGTACATCCACAAGTGTCTTTGAAACTCACTTGTGCTTGGTTGATACATTTTCAGGATACTGACATAAATTTTGGAAGAAATGCTTGTGCAACTGATTCGTCATCATCTATACCTCAGTGCAATGAACTCTTTGAAAATGGCTATTCATATTATTCTCATAACCGTAATGACATCATTTCTGGGGCTGTAAATGTTAATGGTTTGTTGTCATTTTTCTAATTTTTATTTTTCATGTCTCATTTACCTAGAGTCCTCTCTATCATTATTATATTTTATTTTTTTACTAATTTGTTAAAACCTTTAATATATTTGTTTTAAATTCAGATCGTAACTGTAAACATAACTCCAGTTTATCTAAAGATGATGTTTTGTCAGAGCAACTTCAGGATTATCTGAATTCAATTTCAAATACTCCTGATTATATTGAATCATCAACATTTTATGGGGTCAGTATTATGTGATAAGTATTATGTGCTTTGAAACAGTATTAATTACTTAGGTGGACAATTAAGATTAGAGGTGCAATTTTTTCTCTCTAGGCATCATCAGATAAATCAGATTACAACTATGGCCCTGATACGAACTTTGATTTGGATGTTGTCAATGCGACAACTAATCAATCATCAATGTCCTCATATTCTAAAAGTCCATCTGAAAACACCTATAGTCAGGGCTGGGTAAGTATTCCTTTGAATTAAAATAAACTGCTCCTTTTATTATGTTTTTCCTTATATCCAAATTTAGCTTTGAATATGTTTGTGTATAAATCAAAACAATTCCATTTTCCAGATGGCTGGAAGTCAAGCCGACTATCCAATGGAATATCAAAGAGAGCGAGAAATCTCTGGGAGTGCAGGCAATCAACCCTCACAAAAACCTTGCCTTAATTTTAACAATAACCACAGCCAAATGCCCAACAATAATGTGGTCCGCAATGGAATGACCAGGGCAATCACTAACCACAGAAATAACACCCGAGGAACTGCTCCTTTCCGATTCCAGCCCCCACATCGCACTCCACTCCCTATGCCACTGCCAAATCCCTTCCATTATCCTCAAGTTCCATTCATGCCACCTCCGATAGATCCTTTCCTCTATGCTGATCTTGTCAACCGGAGACATGCTATGTCGTCATATTTTCCACCCTACTTTGACAATGCTGCATCTCACCCTGCCCTGTGGAATACTTCTCCTACAGGATCAGGTTTTAGAATGAGGTAGAGGATATTTCCTACTTAGATCAATGATGGCTTGTATACTGTGCAGATGTGACAAAACTACATTTTTATTTCATCATCTAATTTGCAGCAGGAGATCAGGGCCTTCGAATGAACTTCATTCCCGCCTTGAAGAATGCTACAATCAGTTTAAAAGCTTGGAGAAAGAAAGGAAGAAGACCGAAGCAGATTTGGCAAGGCATAATCCTGGGAAAAAAATTTCATCTGCTAATAACATACCTGTCCCAAGACTTCCCCTCACTCCATCCCGTGTAGATAGATTGATTGTAGATCAGTACCGCGAACATGGAAGGGTAAGGAAACACTCTTTTGAACTCTGTTGAAAAATTTGTGTGGTATCACATAGGTGTAGTAACCTGATAATTGTTCCAGGTGATAACTTTGATTGCCAAAATGGAACGGTTGCGAGGCACGCCAGTTCATCCCCGCATTCGACAGTCTATGGAGGGTTGGCTGGAATCCATTAAAAAGGTACAAACTAAAAGAAGAGAAGAACTAATAAACTCCAGCAGCCGACAAGCAATGTTCTTTATGGCTGATGATAAAGGTATGTGAAGTGCAGCTAGTCTAGTTATTTGAATGCATACACGTCATGATTTGAGACTACATTATTATTTTCAATCTTATTAGACACACTGGCATTGGCCATGAGCCTCCAAGACTTGACTAGCAGTTCCCGCCAGGCACGAACAGCAATGTGGTGTGCCCTCAAAGTGACGCTGCTTCACAAAGATGGTGTTGATGTCGTGTCTGATTCAGACTCAGATGAGAATGAAACTGAAACAGAATTTGAGCCTGATCTGGAAAATCAAATTCCTTTTCATTCCTCTTCAGTTGATTCTACTGATCATCAGGAAGAAAGTAAGACTCAAACTTTCAATGATGAAATTTAAGTCTTTTCTAGAACAACAAGATAATGCCAAGATTTTTAACAAAGTCAAATTTTAAAATTCAATGTATTTGTACCCATTGTTTTTTTGTCTAATTCTACAACGTCAATTTGAGGAAGCCTTTTATTTCAAATTTTAACATGGATTGGTTTTTCTTTGGCTTTTATTTAATTTCTACTTGATTTTTACTAGTTCAATGAAGTTATGTTTTAATGAAGTCACCGTTTTGATGAAAAATTGTTTGCATAAGTTATCTTATGGACTTTACTGTCTGCAAATTTTGTATAATTTTATTTGTGAACCAATGATTTACACTTCTTAAAAATTCTGACCGTTCACTGATTGCTGTCCTTTTGCAGGAATTGTTTATCTATCTAACACTTTAAAATGTGCTGATTTGCTCCCAATTCTATTTTTCTGATCTTATTTTTGATCATTCAGAATGTTCTTATTCAAACAGTGATTTGTGCATCTCCTCTTATCAAAATTTGAATTGTTCTCACTCTGTGGAGCTACTCCTAGGCCCCTGTCATACCTAAACACATGTTTCAAAATATCTCACTGAGTGTACGGCAATGTTTTTACCATTTAAAAACCCCAACAAATCTCACATTAGATTTTATGTGTAACCCTCATCTGTAGATGCTGCTTTTTGTGTGGAGATACCATATGTACTATTTGATGTAACTCTTTTAATACTCGTGAGTCATACTTGTTTTCATGTGATTTGTGATTTAGTGTTTGAGTAGTCCTAGATTTGAGTATTTTAAGCAGGCAAAAGTCCAAAGAGTCATTTTATGTAGTTTTTACAAATTACCTGGGGTTACATACCCTTTATTTGACCTAGAACATGTCCCTCATTGCATTGTTTTTCTTACTGAATTTTTTTTTACTCCCTTTGGCAACTGACATTTTTTTACAAATGTGTAATTCTTCCCTCTTTCATAGTTGTGACGAACGGAAACATTTTCTTAGCCTGGCTATTATGTACATATTGGATTTTTTCTGAGCTTTGTATTTGTGTTCAATGTTTGGGGTATCTGTAATTTAGTGCTCACTGTTGCTGTATACAGTTACTTGCCAGGAGCAGTGTTTGGGTCATGTCCTCTGTGATATTTCCCTATTCCTTAGCCCCGTGTTTCTTAGTTTCTTTGTTAGTGCAGCATGCATCTACTGTTCTGGTCGTAAGTATAAGAAAGGCACATTTTTGTCTCAACTGTGCACTAGTCTCAGGGTAGTATTTGGTCACTCATCTGCTGAGTGTTACGTGAAGTACTTATATAGAGGTATTTTTCTGTGATAACTCCATGTTCCTGTACTGCTGACTAAAATTGAGTTTTTAATTGTTAACATAAGACTCTGGCAAATGCTCAAATTAATCTCTTAAAATGGGGGTACAGGGAAACAATGTTTCCAATTTTGTAGTTTAAAATTAAAAAATTGAATGCCTTTCAAATTTATATGGTTCCAAAATTTAGTTAAGTACTCTGAAATTGGTTATGTAATGTGATTTTTTTCACTTTGAACGGAAGATGAGAGTGAAAGCACATTTGTTAAACACTTTTCAATTTTTAGGTCATTTATTAGATTTTGTAGTGACTGATAGTAAATGAAGACCTGTATCTCAACGTAAACAAATTGCCCTTCTGCTTGATATGTTTCTATTATAACTACTACATTTCTGTGGTTGTATTTGCTTTTAGATCTACCTCTGTGCTACAAGCACCTAATAACAAGTTTTTCTCTGTTGTGACTGCAACTAAATGAGGCAATTTTAGGCTTTGCTTTTACAATATCATGCTTTTAATGAGCACTTTATAAGTTATTACAGGACAGGTTTGCCTTTTCTAGTTAACTAAACTATTCGCATTTTTTGTGGGGTTCTGAAATTGGTTTGTAGTGTTGTTATTATCTAGGATAGGACTGTAGGCTGAGGAAAAATGTAGCTAAGTTGAATGTCAGCTTTAGTCAAACATATCAAGCTATTCTACCCTTCTCAACTGTATACCCAATTACATATTATTGATTTATTCACAAGTTTTTTCATTTCTCTTGACTTATTAGTAAATGTGACTGTCACATCCCTATAGCCTTGGATTTGTTAAGCATCTTGCCTGTGATACTGCAAACTGGTTTTTCAGTTCCTTATGGTGAAAAATGATGAAGTGCTTCTGCATGGTTTTGTTAACTTTTCTGTTAGGCATTGGAGCCCTTACTGGAGCACTTGATAATATTATGTGATGTGATATGTATGATTTTTCGTCAGTATTTCCCGTCTAAGAGGACTTAAGAGAATGAGGGTCCAATGTGGCTAATGTGTTAGCTTTTACGATTTGTTACATTTTCGTCACTGACCATGTATCATATATTTGATAGCAATTTGAACCAAATAGTTGTTCCTATGCTTAAGTTGTTTACACTTTTGATTTTCAAAGACTCATCATTCATCATGCTTCTGAACTCTTTATAGCGTGAAGGGATTAAATAAAAATTGCATTACATTATGTGACAAAGACAGTCTTGAACTAAGTCTCCATAGATAGTCTCCATTAGATTTAATTTATACGGTACTATTATTGACAGTTTAATGTAGATAATGAGTCAATTGGTTTACCGTTTCTGTTTGTAAACACAAAAGTATTTACTGCTTTTTAAAATTGTGAGTTCCATGTTTCTTCTTGCCTGAAAGATGTGCACCACATCATATATATTTCTGCTGTCAAGTATTAACCAATGTTTCATTTTGTTGCTCATTTCAAATTGTCATTCACTTAATAAAATCTTTTTAATCTACCAAGTATTGCAGACTGTATTATTGATTTCCGAATGATTGAATGAATATCCAGTGATAAGAAATAATTAACGAAGTCTTAGTGGCTTCATTTAGAACTATTTTCATTTTATTAAGAGCAATAGTGACGCTACAGCCGATAATGGCTCTGAAGAAAATCTCAACAGGGTGTTCCGTTGAAATGTGGACAAGTGGCCTGTTTGGGTTCATTATTGGCCCATGCATTGATCTGTGAGTTCATCATGGCAAGCTAAATTTAATGGATATTATTTTTTTTCTGTAGGGAACAAAGGGAAGAATATGCCAAAACATCATCATACATCTTATTCTAATGTTTTGGCATGTACCAAGATAATTTATCTTTTGGTAACACTACGTTTCCGACCTCTCTAGACTATATGCGGGCGTTAACCATCCAGTTCCATGCAGCCTGCACCAGCAACCAATCACATGCCCTGCTTGGCGCGACGTGAACCTCACGACTTCGCCTCACTTTTGCAGACCCACTGCCTGTTAGGCTTAGAGAGACTATAAGGTCTCTGTAGTTAGGCTCTGCGCACGAGGGGGAGGGGGTTGCTCCCACACGGTCTCCTTAACCACCACCAACAGACTTGAAGGGGAGAGTGGCTGAAGCTTATGGTACGCTTCTGGTCGCAGTTTGCCATGGAACCGGATGACCCAGCCAGAAACGCTTAATCTATTATACTCCACGCCGACCAGACGCTTTGAAGAGGTCAATACGTCTACATAGACGTCTAACTAAATGGTCCAAAAATAGACATCATCTATGAGAAGTCTAATCGACGTCGAGTAGAATATACTCTCTGGCTGGGGAGCCCCATGTGCACCTTGCACACGCACTGGGCTGATCTCCCCTCGCGAGGGCCCCTCCTCTACGTGACGGCGCAGCCGGTGCTCTTGGAGCGGCGGGGGGCGGCCTGGCGCGGGGCGGGGGCGAGGCCGGCGCCGGCGCCAGCGGGGGTGACGGGGCCAGAGGGGCCGCAGCCGTGGTGGTGGTGGTGGTGCTGGTGGAAGTGCTGGTGGTGTGACTGACTGCGCGTCATCCGCTGCCGAGGCCGTCCGGGGCGGTGCTGGTGGTGCAGCGCGCGCCGCCGGCAGGGCTCGCCCTGCTGCACGCCGCCGTCCTGCGGGATGTCCAGGACCTCCAGGGAGCGCGTCGTGGCCGTGCTCGCGGCTAGCCCTCGACGCGGACCCGGGCTTTGACTGGCCGCCCGGTCCTCTGGCGAGCACCTCGCGAACGCCGCTGATGTCCCCGACGTGTCGCTATCGGGCAGGGCAACATGATCAGTCGCCTGAGGGGCTCCTCTGAGTGACAGGAGGCTGCCGACGGTGACAGTTACCTGGCCGGCGCCGGATAGCAGTGGAGGTCACGGGGCGGCTCGGCGGTGGAGGGCAGTGGGAACCAGTCCGGCTCCTGCAGGGCCATCACCTTGGTGGCCATGAGCGGGGAGGTGGCGGTGCAGGCCGTGGTGGGGCCAGCCTGCGTGCCGCTGCTAACGAGCGCGCGCACCTCCACCGGGGGCGGAGGGGGCGGCGCCGGCGGCGTGTCCGGGGCGCTAGGGGTCGACGGCGGCGAGGGCGCGGGCGACGAGGGCAGCGGCGTGGACGGCCGCGGGGCCACGCCGACCATGCTGCTGGAGGTGACTGACGCCCGCCGGCTCCCGGGTCGCACCTTCATGCCGTACGGGTCGCCCTCTGACGGGTGCCCCCACTGCAACCAAGTCGGTGTGACAGGCTTCTACCGGCGGAACTACTTGTTCAACGTGCTACCGCAGCCGAGACCGCGTAGCTCTCCTGCGCTACCTGGAACACCGAGGTGGCCTCCTCCACCGTCTTGGGCGTGCAGTGCACGCTTAGGGACCCCCTGCGAGTGAACTTGGGTGCGAGCGCGGTGCCCGCCATCACGCCCACGGAGCCTAGGTTACCCAGGCTGCCAAGAGACCCCCGCTGGGAGGAGCTCTTCGACGACGGGGACGTCGGCGGGGATGTGATCTGCCAGAGAGGACGAAAGACGAATTGGGTTAGAGATGCACAAAATACGCGCCGGAGACACACCTGCAGTGCGGCGCACCTGCAGCGGCGGGTTCCAGGACGGGCGGTGGTGGGCGCCCGATCCCAGGGCAACAGCCGCCGGAGTCCCCGTGGCCAGGGAGCCGACGGCCACCCCGACCAGCCTGCCGCTGGGGGAGCACGGCGCCATCGAGACGTACTGGGTCTCGGCCTGCTTGGCTTCCTGGGCGAGCAGGAGCCGGGGACTGGTGAACGGCTGCACGGATCCGGTTGAGTTCGAGCGACCTGAAAATATTCCATCATTGGCAGTGAATGCCTCGTATATTTTCACGGGGTCAACGTGCAGCATTTCTATTGTTGCAGTTCAGTTTCCGTCTCTGATCATCACGCCAAAAATAAATTGTATCCATTTGGGAAGCGCCCCTTGCCTGCCTGCCGCTTGGGCGACGACACCAGCGACCGCTTGGCAATCTCCTGGAAGGTGACGGGGCTGTACACGGAGCGGTCGTCCTCCAGGTCGCGCGCCAGGTCCTTGGTGCTGCTGTCCTCGTCCTGGTCGAGCGACTCCTCCAGGTCCTCGTGCTCCTCCTCCTCCTGGGCGGCAAGCAGCGCCCGGGCCGCGCTCGTGCGCCCCTCCAGCCAGTAGGTCTTCATGGACCCTGCGTGTCATCGGGGAGGACGGGAGGGACGTCAGGCTCTGAGGGGTGGGCCAAGGGTCGCACACGAAGGACGTCATTTTCACTTTCCCCTCCCGGCGTCCCCACTACGAATTTCAATTTCCCAGTAAAGCACTTTTAGCAATTTTTTCAAGATTTGTTAAAAAAAGGTTTGAATATTTCCATTAAAGTTTAAATTTTTCCATTTTTTTTTCTGCGGAGATTCCTGTTTTTCCTCGGAAAAATTTCAAGGTTTCATCCCCCTTGCCAGCTCACCCTTCCCCTTGACCTGCACCTCCCCGCGCTCCACCAGCTGGTAGCAGGCGGGCAGCAGGTCCCGGGTGGGCTGGGACACGTGCACGCGCATCGCCTCGCTCGTCGACTCCATCCGCGAGGCCGTGTTGACCGAGTCGCCGAACAGGCAGTAGCGCGGCATCTTGAGACCGACGATGCCGGCCACCACGGCGCCCGAGTGCACGCCGACCCGGATGCAGAGGTGGGACCCCGTGGACGGGTCTTTCAGGCCCTTGATGGCGTCCAGCATGTCCAGGGCCATGTCGCACACCTTCTCGGCGTGGTTGTCCTCGCGCTCCGGCGCCCCGGACACCACCATGTAGGCGTCCCCGATGGTCTCCACCTTGTAGTAGAGATTTTAATTTTCCATACAAGTGTTCAGGTAAATTTTTTACAATAAAATAAAATAAATCAAAATGTTTGCATTTTTTCATAAAAGTTTTATTATTTTCCAATTTCGGATTCCAAAATTCCTACCTTGTAGACCCGGTTGCGCTCCGTGAGCGTGTCGAAGATGGAGTACATGCCGTTGAGCATGGAGACGACCTCCATGGGGCTGAGCCGCGAGCAGATCTCGGTGAACGTCACCACGTCGGCGAACAGGATGGACACGCTGTGGAACATCTGGGGGAGGAGACGAGTGTCATCAGTAAAGGTCATTAATTACAACGCGGAGAAAGTCTAAGTCTTAGATGAAACAGAGAGGCATTCTGGAAAAATTTTGAAGATGTTTTTCAATTATTTTTTTCCGAATTCTTCTGCAATGTTTCATAATTTTTTTTCAATTTTTTTTAAAATCTGGGAAAGGTTTCGACTTTTCCGCGGGATATCCCCCAGTCCCACCTGACAGGTGTCGATGGGGTTCTCGCCGTTGCGCAGGCGGTCTGCCACGGCCTTGGGGATCATCTGATAGAGCAGCTCGTCCGTGCGCCGCATCTCCATGTCGAGGCGGCGCATGGACTCCTCCAACTTCTTGGACTTGTGCTGCTCCTGGTCCAGGGCGAGCTTGAGCTCGACGGACTGCTGGGTCCCGGCCAGCATGAGGTCGCGGCTGAAGTCGTGCATCGGCAGGTCGTTGATGTAGAGGCCGGTGGACACGAGCGAGCTGAGGTCCGGCATCACGGGCGTGCCCAGGTACATCATCATGCGCCAGTCGTCCATGTAGATCATCTGGCCTGCGTCACTGTCACCGTTATACCAAGGACT